TATATTATATTATATTATATTATATTATATTATATTATATTATATTATATTATATTATATTATATTAGATTATATTATATTATGTTATATTATATTATATTATATTATATTTTATTATGTTATATTATGTTATATTATATATATATGGATATTAATATCAATATATGATATATTAAAAATTATTAAAATAATAATAATAATGAGTTCATAATGAGCTATAAAAACTGAGGCTTTAATAATATTAAAATAAAATAAAAATAATAATATAATAATAATTAAAATAGTAGTATAAAATAATAATAAAATAATAATAATATTAAACTAAAGTTCACATATGCATTCAAATATCGATACTTTCGTCAGATATCGGACAGATATCGAACAGATATCGAACAGATATCGATACTTGCGTCGTCATCGATTCGATCGCTATCTAAAATACAAAAAGCCGCGTGGCTTTTTCGAACGAGTCGTCCAATCGTTCGGTAAAAACGAATCGACCTCGTTTATCCAGAGAAATAGAGACATTTTCCTTTACGTAAGAACCGATTGCGGAAGCTAAAGGAAAATGGCAATCACGGGTGGACAATCGGCAGCGGCATTGTTACTTAAACAAACCGCGCTCCTCGCGCGCTCGACCGTGCCAGGGTACGTGCAGTCGAAAACAACGGCGACGCAAGAATTTCCTTAAAATTTGATACGTTTGTCAACCGTGTCGACCTTCCCGATGACAAATATAAAAGCCGCCGCGGCACGTAAAGCCGTATCATCGCAGTTCGTTCGGTCGGCGAAATATTCGCCGTGACACGGTGCCGCGCCGTTCCGTTTCACAGAATTTCTGCGGAATCGACACAAACCGAATGAAAATGAACAGCGTTCACATTTTCGTCTTTCTCCTATTCGCCAGCTGCGTAAGTACACGGCAAAGAAAAAGAAAAGAAAAATAGGAAGAGGAGATCGATTTCTCGTTCTCCGGATATATTTGAATCGTTTTTTTCTGTTCAACGCTCGATTTACGGCGCCCGTCAAAATGGCGGGTCGCTAATTTTTTCGCGATTATTAAAATCGCGAAGATACGTTTGTACAAGTTGTTCGTTCAATTTGCACGTTACATAATGTTTGGCAAATATTGCAAATAACGCTTGTGTTCAGGATCGTGATAAATGGAGGATTGTTATTTTTATAAACTAATATTAAACGGCCGGTCTTTTTTGCTATGTGAATCTGAAATCTTGAACGCGTGGAAATCAATTATAAATATATATATATATATATATATGCACATAACAGTATAGAATATTATAAATATATATATGTTCTATATTTTTCTATATAATATTCTAGAATATTATAAATATATATATATATATATATATATATATATATATATATATATATATGTTCTATATTTTTCTATATAATATTCTAGAATGTTATAAATATATATATATATATATGTTCTATATTTTTCTGTATAATATTCTATACTGTTCTTCAATTCTATACATTCTTCTACAACGTAATTATTACGCGTTCGTCGGCATAAATGATCTAATTAGCCGCTGAACGAACCAGGTAACCGTCCGAGGTTTCGAGGTGCAGCATCTGGCCGACATTTTAGGCATACCGAAAAGCCAATACGTCGAATGCGTCGAGGGAAACGATCTAGATAAACGTATGAGATATGTTTAATATTTTGTAATTCTTTAATTAATTTAATTTAATACCTTATATATATATATATGAATCTCGAAGTTCGAATGCTTCGACCGAAAATTGCGATCTATTGTTATTGGTTGATGAACGTGTACGCGTATTTTTTAAAAACTTTCAGCCGCTTTCATTAGGATCTCGCAGCTTTTGGGAGCCAAGGAGCTGAACGCGGAGGACCAGAAATTGATGAACAGGTTCAGTTGCTTCCTGGCTTGTATTTTCACGAAGGGGAAAATCGTGAGTGGTTCCTCGTGCGATTCGAGCACGATCAATTTCTCGATCAGTTTTCGGTCGGATCATTTTGCTCTCGGGATTCAACGAATTCAACGTGATCGTTACAGATGGACGAGGGTAAGATTCAATTCGACACTATATTGCAATTGGCGGACGAAAACGACGTACCTCTCACCGCCGAGATGAAGGAGAACCTGAACGTTTGCATCGACGAAGGTGAGTCGCTGGTCTTAAAAATTCATTTTTGTCGTAATATATATCCGAACAAGCTGAATATTACTAGAATCTATGGAATGCAAAACGGTCAAGGTATCATTCGGTATGATTAATTTTAGCTTCTTCTGGTTAATTTAATAATTACATGGGAATCTTTTAGATTCAATTTTGATACTTAACGCGTTAAGCAAAGCATAAAATATACTATTTATTTGGAATCGAAGATAAATATGTCGAATTGTCACGAAAAAACAGTGCTGACGTTCTATACAAACGATTTAGTTAACCTTCGCAAACGAAACAATTTAAACAAACGTTTAACCCTAAACAGCACTTGACCTTTTGAAAATGTACCTCATAATCTTTTTAAATAGAAAGTAATTGTGGGAAGAGAGACCGAGCAAATAATAACTGTAACAACTGCAATTGATTTGACACATGTTACGTGTAAAAACGAGCTAATGGCTGTAACGCGATAAAAGCAAAAAAACAACACCGACGACGGTTCGCCGATTATCATTGTGCCACGTTGATTAAAAAATCGTTAGCTTCTTCGAAGTGACTATGTATGTAAACAAGCGTGTTTTAAACTCGATCATAACACGGAACAAAAACGATCACAGGAAGAAGCCATTGGCCTCGTTTCCATTTATTCTCGTTTCTGGAAATTCGTATTCGCAACGAGAGACGAGAAGATTCCTGTTACCGCTAATATTTATCAACATTTCAGCAAACAAGAAGTTGGACAACTGCGAAGCGTCTCTCGCCTTCTCCACGTGCGTTAATGATCGTTGGTTCCGATACGGACAATAATTCCTCAATGACTGATAAGGGAGCCTCGGACATCGCAACAACGCTGCATCATGTATCGTGAAATGACAACTTCAGCATGAATAAACCGATCATAAAAATATACAGGGTTGTTCACTTGCTTTGCAGCAAACAACGGACCTTCCATATGTTATTTATAAATATGTTTGCAACTGTCGTAAATATGTATCGACACAAATCCGACGTTCCCTTTCGCAAGTTTCCACGAAATATCGAACAATTCGCGTGCCGCAATTCTGGAAAATAAGACTTTCTAATTCCCATAATGAGTGATTCCAACAATTTATCTCTTCGATTTACCCGGAATGTTATGTTCTGCGTATGTAATAGTTCGGTGACATAACTGGTGCAACTTTAACCTCGACCCCTCGGATATAAGTATTGCGGTCGATCTGTTCGATGTCAGTTAATCGAAGCCAATTGTCAAGCGTTGTTGAGATACAAGAAACCAGAAACTGATAACATGAAGTTTTTACTATTGCTCGCATTCGTCGCCGTCGCTGCTGTAAGTACTCAAATGTACCTCTAAATCGAGGCGCGGCATACATTATGTGAAACGAGATAACAAATAATCGTTTAACATGATGGATTATTTCAAATGCTCCATCATTTTCATTTTACGAATAGAATAAAAAGTCGGTCTATCCCCTATTTCATTCAAATACCTTAAATAAAATAACAGATAATTTGGTACAATATGTTGCTTCGTATAAATTAAAGAACAGAAATTTCGAGAACGTTTACAGTTTCGCCGAATTTTGTTCCTTAAAAGGGATTTCACTGCGAAAAGTTCGTCGTCGAAATAATCGTATTAAAATAAATCTATCGCCGCAGCAAAACGAGACGTTGGCATGTTGGAAACAGACAGCGTCGAATACCTTATTTCCAGAAATATTCGATGCAATAAAACATTCGATAAAAATTTCATTCGAATAAATTGCAAGGTGACGAATTAATCAGGAATTAATTTCTAC